TTGTTTATGGGCCCATCCTGCAGTTCATTTCATTCAAATAATAAACATTTTGACTGAAAGTACATTCAGGACTAGATATTTCTCTAAGTAAGAGAATATTTCCTCTAAGTAAAAGTTACCATAAATATTTTGTTGCAATGGCTGTGCTATAGAAGATTTCAACTAAAAAGAGTCCAAGAAACCTTTAATTAAATTATCATGATTTTATGGGCCCATCCTGCAGTTCATTTCATTCAAATAATAAACATTTTGACTGAAAGTACATTCAGGACTAGATATTTCTCTAAGTAAGAGAATATTTCCTCTAAGTAAAAGTTACCATAAATATTTTGTTGCAATGGCTGTGCTATAGAAGATTTCAACTAAAAAGAGTCCAAGAAACCTTTAATTAAATTATCATGATTATGCCATCTGACATTGGACTATAGCAAAAGCTACCAAAGTCACATGGATGAGATTAATCAATACTATTTAAGCTTTACAATCCTGTAATCAAATCTCTGAATACCCAAAAAGTGGTTGGATTTAAGCAAGCTGTGCAATTAACTTAGTAGCCAGAAAATGACCTTGTGTTTCAACAAAACCAAAAATGCGCTGGTTAATCATGTTGCAATTTAAAATAACTACATTATATTAAATGTTAGAGAAAGCTGTCATGATAAAATGTTGTGAAGACTGAATATATAAAAGGACTTACTTTCAAATGACTATGATTAAAGTCAATATGAACCTCAAATCTTTCAGTAGATATAAATAATTATTTATGAAACTTTAAAAAGTGATTATAATTATTTTGAGTGCAGTAAAAGGTTTATAAGGATATTATGCACAGACAGAAAGAAAGAAATGTGACTGCTCCCCTTTTCATTCCCAGGGGAGGGAATCTTTTCCACTTTCAGGGATCAACTCTGCTTAGACTTGCCTAATGAAGGCGGCTGGAATAGAGTATGTGGCTTAGTTTTTGACTGATGGATTGGTTTGCCATAGGTAAGCAAGGCATAAAAGGACAAATATTTTACAATGAACTACCTCTGAATGAATTTGTATATCACATGAAATTAGCACAAATTATGGCCAAATCTTTCAAACTTTAAAACGTTATTTTGTTTATATCACTTGGAAGTTGTAGGTGCTCAGCATCTCATCAGCAACTAAATGATTTAGGTGACAACTTTAGACATTAGTGTTTGAACATATGGTATATATATGTTTATTCAAATAGAAATGATGAAAAAACCTCTAATTTAGTCTACTATTACTCTTATGCAACTCCAAAATAATTTATCACTTACCACTTTCTATAAATGTCTATTTATGCTTCTAGCAGCTTCTGTTATATGGCTGACATGGTCTGTTGAAAAATGAACCTCCCTTTTTACAAAAAAAGTCTTTGGGGAAGTCTTTGGCTTGTCTTCTATACAGGCAGTCCCCGAGTTACGCGGATCCGACTTATGTCGGATCCGCACTTACGAACGGGGCTCTCTCTCCCCAGAGCTCACAGGGCTCGCAGGCAGCGGGACCGCCCAGAGCACAGCGGTCCCGCCACCTCGACCTCCGGGGCGATAAAAGCTGCTCCGGGTGCTCCTGGTCTGCTGGGGACCGGCTCCAGCAGGCACCGCGAGCAAAGAGGCAGCGGCAGCGGACTCCCCTACAAGGGGAGGGAGTAGAGGTAGGTTATAAAAATAAGGGGGTGGCTCTCTTGCTGTCCAATCACAGGGGTCCCCAACCTCCTCCCCATTCATTCCTTTAATGTCCCTTTTTAAAAACAAGTAGTCCTATGGCTCCTTAGAGCAGGGCTATTCAACTTTGGAAGCCCTGGAGGCCACAATAATATCCACAGTACATGACGAGGGCCACAACTTAAGTGTGGTTGCATATATATGCAAATATATATATATATATATATATATGTGTGTGTGTGTACACAAATATTTATGCAAATATATGCAAATAGCTTCTTACACATGGACAGGCATGAATAAGAAGATTAAGGCAAGACTACACAATATGCAAGCCAGTTCTGCTGATATTAATAAAATGCAATATTTACCCGATTTCCACTCACATGACAGCACTTTTAATGTGCAAGGATAGTACAGGAATGTAACTACTAAAACACATATCAACAGAAGACTATTATATTGACTACTTTTTTGTTTTGGCTTCACAATTTCAACAAATCAGACAGAAACTGCCAATACAACATTTACTGAAACATAAGAACAATCAATGTGAAGTAAAAAGCACTGAGGGGAGAAGTGTCATGGCTAGAAAAGGAACCCAGGAATCCTGTTTCCCAGAATCCCTTCCTTTCTCTTGCCCGCTCCACCAAGCACCAGCTCTCACGGTTCACATAAAGCAGAGACTGGAACCTCCAAATCTAACTAACAGACCTACTGCCCACTTACTAGAAAGGAAAGCCAGAACTTTTAACGCCCAGTTCCCTGCTCCAACCCAATGCACCCACCCATCCCCAAGAGCCAGGCACCCTCCAGCCCTCCCACTCCAACCCAATGTCATTCTCCTCCCCTAAAGTCAGGTACCTCTCTAGCCCACTGGTCCAATGCCCTTCCTCTCTCCTAGAGCCAGTTACTCCCCAACTCCCTGCTCTAACCCAATGCCCCTTTCTCCCCCAAAACCAGGCACTCCCAGCATCCCTGTTCTAACTGAATGCCCCACCCCTCCCTCAGAGCCAGGCATCCTCAGCCCCCTGCTCTTACCCAATGCCCTCACCCTCTCGCAGAACTAGACACACAAATCTAGCAGGGCGAAGGGTAACGCCCTGGGTATCACCAGAACCACATGCTTTTCTCTCCAGGCACTGGGGCCTGTGCACAGAGCAGCTGTGAATGGTCCAGGCGCATGGCCCCGAACGTTCCACTGAAGGCCCTCTCCCTGATCCCCTTTGCAGATCCCAGATATTTTTTGCCTTTTAAAAAGCTCGTCCGGATGGCGATTTAACACGTAAAAACGAGGACATGTCCAGGAAAAACAGGATGTATGGTAACCCTACCCAAGTCTCAGCGCAGACCTCTCTCACCCCAGCGCAGACCTCTCTTGCTGCCTGGCTCTGCTGCTGCCTCGCCACTCCTCTCGCTGCCCAGTTCTGCTGCTGCCTTGCCACATGCCTAACTGCCTGGCTGGCTCCCCCACTGCCTCTTGCCGCCCCCCGGCAGCTCCTGCGCCAATGCAGCCTGACTCAGTGCGGTGCCGCACGGCCTCTGCTCGTGGGGAGGTGCTGTCACTGTGGCCAACGTGGCAGGCGTGCTCTCCCGCTACCTCTTGCTGCCCCCCTGCTAGCTGGCAGTTCCTGCGCATGTGCTGACATGGCCTGCCTCAGGGTGGTGCCACGCAGTTCAGCTCACAGAGAGGTGCTGCCGCTGTGGCTTAAACGGCACGCATGCTCTACTGCTACTTCTTGCTGCCACCACTGTCGGTCAGCAGCTCCTGCGCACGTGCCAATGCAACCTGGCTCAGTGAGGCACCATGCAGCTCAGCTAGCGGGGAGGTGCTGTCACTGTAGCCAAACACAGGAAGCATGCTCTGCTGCCACCTCTTTCTGCCCTCCCCCGCCAGCTGGCAGTTCCTGTGCACGCAGCCTGGCTCAATGCAGTGCCGCGCAGCTTGGCTCACAAGAAGGCACCACAGCGATGAGGCCAGCAGGCGACCCAGGAAGTGGCTCAAGGTGCTGCAGGCCACGTGTTGAATAGCCCTGCCTCAAAGACTAACAGAATATATAGGATCATGAGCTTTCGTGGGTAAAACCCACTTAATCAAAGGACTTGGGAGTGTAAGAATCCAAAGATATAAAACACAGAAAAAGCAGTTATCTGTCAGTTGTAGAACCTGTGTTAATGACACTAATTAAGTGGGCTGGATGTGTCCCATTCATAACTTTTGATGTGAAAATGCAAATATCAAAGGTAGGGGAAATTGGCTTTGTATTGCAATAACCAGTTAATGTCTTTGTAATCGTGAGCTTAACTAATGTCAAATTCATAAATGAATTCCAGGTCAGCAGCCTCTCTCTGTAAACGGGCAATGAAATTCCTTTGTAGAAGAATGGCTACTTTTAAATCCACGATTGAGTGACCAGGTAAGTTAAAATGTTCCCCTACAGCAGCATGGAGGGATAGCTCAGTGGTTTGAGCATTGGCCTGCTAAACCCAGGGTTGAGTGTTCAATCCTTGTGGAAGCCATTTAGGGATTTGGGGCAAAAGTTTGTCAGGGATGGTAGTTGGTCCTGCTGTGAAGGCAGGGGACTGGACTCAATGACCTTTCAAGGTCCCTTCCAGTTCTAGGAGATAAGCAATCTCCATTAATTTAAAAAAATAATAATTTAGGGGTGGGAAACCTAATGACCAGGGGCTGCCTTCTGGCCTGTATCAGGCCCCCAAGGTTCAGGGCTCCTTACCTCTCAAGCACTGGGGAGCCCATACTGGAGCTCCAGCCCCACTGCCAACCCACTGTGGGGCTGGAGCACACAAAATCTACTTGCTTGGACACCCAAGGCTCTAGTGTGCCAAGGGAATGTTGGAATTGTCTTTCTTTTCAGTTGGGGGCTTTCAGTTGGGGGCCATGTCAGCAAGGGTTTGGTTTTTCATTTTTGCTCCTCACTTGCTGCTTTTTCTGACTGATTTTTCAATGGGCCAGCAGCCTCCAACCCAAAAAAAGGTTCCTGTAGTGGGGCGGAATGGCCGCTCATGAATGTGGAGGAGGAGGAACCCCTCTGACCTCCGACCACCATGTTGGGCTGAGGCTGACCCTGCCCAGCCACCTGACTAGAAGCCAGAGGGCGGAGCCAGAGCTATAAAAGCCCAGCCAGCAGACTTAGTCAGGGCTAATACTAATATATGGAGATATATCATCTCATAGAAATGGATGGGACCTTGAGAGATCATTGAGTCCAGTCCCCTGCTCTCACAGCAGGACAAAGTACCATCCCTGAGAAGATTTGCCCCAGATCCCTAAATGGCCCCCTCAAGGATTGAACTCACAATCCTGCATTTAGCAGGGCAGTGCTCAAACCACTGAGCTAGCTCTTCCTCCCTCCTTCAGGCTGAACCTGAAGAAGGGACAGAGGCTTGCTCAAGGCTCCCGGCCTGGGGGGGGCAGGGACTGAAGCTTGGCCTGGACCTCCAAGCTTCTTGGAGCCAGAGGCTGACTACCTGCTCCCTGCCTGGAAGGCCACAGCCTGGTCCAGCCCACCTAACCTAGCAGAGGACACAGAGGGCCAGCTTGATTCCGTGCCACAGCCCCTGCCCAGGAACCGGGAAAAACTGCTGCCACTGCCAGGGCCAGAGGCTTGGCCCAGGCCCCGACAGAGTTTGACGCCGCGGACTGGCCCAGACACCGGACTAGTGACTTGGGGCTTGGCTTAAAGGGACAGTGTAGTGGAGCGGAGTGGCTGCCCACTGATGCAGAGTAGGAGGAACCCCACCGGGAAGCCAGGCTGACTACAGTTCCCCACTCAGGTTTATGTGTGTTTCCATTTTTGGTGTTTGATTTGCAGGGCTCGCTAAGCCACAGCGAGCTCCACTTGCCAGCCACGCGGTTCGGCACGCTGCGCATGCGCAGACCACCTTGTGCGGCTGTGCCGGCTTATAATCTACTCGCCACGAGTGAGTAGATTACATTAATTGTTGAGCCCTACTGATTTGTGTCCATTTATCTTTTGTTGCTTGTATAGATATGTGGACAGAGTTAGCAATGGGGTTTGTTGTAGGGGTATGTTCCTGGGTGAAGATATCTGAGATATGATGTGTGGTTGCTGGTAAGTAATTGCTTAAGACTGGGGTGCTGTCTGTAGGTGGAGACTGACCAGTATCCCAAAGCCTGTGAGTCTAAGGGATAATTTTCCAGAATACGTTGTAAATTGCTAATGATGCGCTGTAGGGATTTAAGTTGGGGGCTGTAGGTGAGGACCAGTGGTATTCTGTTATATTCCTTGTTGGGTCTGTCTAGAAGTAGTTGACTTCTGAGTACCTGTCTGGCTTTGTCACTTCCTCACTTCCCCAGGTGAGAAGTATTTAAGTTTTCAGAATGATAAAGATACTGTTACCCTGGGCTTGAATAAAGTCATTAGCTTGTTACTGCACTATAAAGCCTATTTCCCCTGCCTCTGACATGCACTTCTTCACATTAAAAGCCCACTTAATTAGCTTCATGAACTCGGGTCCTACAATTGACAGGTAACTTTTTCTGTTTGTTAGGTGTGTCTTGGATTCTGTTATTTCCACTCCAACTTCTCTGATGAAGTTGGTGGTTAGTCTCTAATGGGCCACAGGACTACTTCTTGTTTTTAAAGTTATAGACTAACATTACTACCCATCTGAGACTTTTTATCAGTTAAGTTCAATTCCAATCAATTTATCTGGTCACTGTATACCTTTACTATGGAGTACCCACTCTAGACACCCACCCGACACTTAAATACATTCCCTTCATTTGGCCAGCCATGTAAATACACCCATGCTTAAAGGTGCAGGGTGATCATCATCAGGCATTTGCTAGTAGGTGCTTTCTAGAGTTCAGGCAAGTTCAATTACTATTCATTTACTAACAGAAAGTATTGACAAATATTCACCAACATTGGTGGGGCAATTTTGCATTGTGTTTGTGTAATGTTACTTCTTTCATTTTTGTCTCCTGTTGCAATTCTGACCATCTGAATAGCCTTTTAAGTGATATGCCAGTTTTATTTTTAATCATGTGCTACTTTTTTACAGAAATACTTCCACTCATCTTGGACATGTGCATGAGCAAACCCCTATTTGCATACATACACACAACTAGAGGCTACCAATTACAGACACCCAGATGTATATGGACCTGATTACTGAATCCTTCTAAGTCACAAGTCAAACAATACATAGAGAAATAAAATCTTGTATGATCACAGAGTAGAAAGCTTTTTGAGATTTGTAACCACTTGGGACAAGAATAAAGAGAAGGGCTGAAAGCAAGTTAAAGAAAATGGTATTATGGACAATTGGGAAGAAAAGATAACAGCTATAAAATAAATTACTGATTTCTTAGAGTGAGCTTAATTTTAAATTTAGTTTTTCAAACCTACTACTTCATATTGAGTTCTAATATACAGTCTTGTCACAACAGATATATTTGCATTTTAGAAATTAACTAATTAGGCTAAACTTTCTAGAAACATGCAGATGAGGATATAATATACAGAACTCTACGTACTGTAAATAATTCAGAGATTTACATCCAAACTGAATTGTATTGTACTTTAAGACTATTTTTCTATTAAGAAAGTCTGGCAGCTGTAGTTTCCTTAAGAACTGTAAAATAAAATTACATATTCCAAATTTCAAAAATCAGACAGATGAAATCCACACTACACTTCAACATAATCTACAGACCCATCCTGGCAATGTTTATCATATCACATAAAAGGTTTAAATTATTTTTCTTTATTCACAACTCTTATGCTAAAAATTTTAGACAAGAACAACTGTATATGCCTCAGATTTCTGGGAGATGGAAGGTGTTTAAATTATTTATATTTAAATTTGCTATTTAATATGAACGACATTTTTATAGTTAATAATGGTATCTGGGACAAGTGTGTGTGTGTTCGTTCGTTCAGCTAGGTAATAGTTAACCAAACTCACAGTTCGATGGCTTTATTCCACATGATGACGTAGCCTGAGAGTGTGAAGGACTCCACATTGACAATGTGAATGTTTCCTCTTTCAGTACCCACATAGAGCCATTTACTTTGGAAAGGCAGATGGCAAAATGTTATCCTGTAAGATACAATGTATTCAAAAAAGTAATTAGGAAGATCATCTATAAATCCTACAAATAATTTAAGACCAATATTAAAAAAAAAACAAATCCAGGAAAAGAGAACTATTTTATGTTTTATCATATTTTATTTGTCACTTCTATATCAGTCAGACACATGAAATTTTAAACTTCAGAGACCAGTTGTAATTGCTGGATAAAAGAGCATACTTCAGAAACAATGATTTTATTAAACTTGTCTTATAACATACAAAAATTGTAAGTGTGAAAGTTAACCTTTGAACAAAATTATAAATCTTTGATCATTTAAAGTTTGAATTCCTTATTTGGGATTTATTTTAAGGTATTTTAATTGTACACTGGGTTTCTAACTGCTTTTTAAAATTAATCTCACTATATTACTACTTTTTTCCAGTTTCAAGGACATAATGCATTTTAGATGTTGCCTTTGGTTTTATATAATAGTTTTAAGTGACACTAGATCCGTGGTCCCCAACCCGGTGCCCGCCGGGCTCTTTACATGTGCCCGCAGAGCAATCTGGGTTGGCAGGTGCCAGCCCCGGGCGCATGGCCGGTCCCGGCCCCGGGGGCGCCGCGCGTGCCCTTGCTGGCTCCGGCCTTGGCCCCGCCCCCGG